TTATTTTCTTTTGTTTTAGTTTTGTTTGGTTGAATAACATTTGTTGATTTTTGGAGACAGGTAACTCTGGCCATAGATGGACGGGTCTAATGAAAGGAACCAATGAATGCTATAAAATTACAAGATTAAGCTGAAAATGTTTATTGGGAAAATGCCTTTGAAGGCATTCAACTTTCATATACAAATTCTTATAAAGACAAAACCATTCCCTGACCGGGAGTCGAACCCGGGCCGTGGTGGTGAAAGCACCAAATCCTAGCCATTAGACCATCAGGGAGACTTTGTCCTCTTCGTCTACCTTCATATTCATATTTCCTGAGGCCTTTGCAAATAAATAAAAACAAGTTAATTAGCTTTACTTACTTTCAGAAACTACAGGCTGACATCATCATATCTTTGCTCTCTGCACACTTGAATTTTTAGACGTCTTTTATTAAAAAGATTACAAAATAATGGGGTAATGCAGTGTGGTGGTCAGCACTGTGGCCTCACAGCAGGAGGGTTCCCAGGGTGAAGTGTGACAGGTGTGTATGTGTGTGTGGTGTTTAAGAGGGTGTTTTTTTTGTTTGTTTTTTTCTGTCCCCCTTTTTCTTCTTTTCCTTTTTTTTATTGTATTTTTTTTTTCTTCTGTTTTTTGTTTCGTGTGTGCCCGCGGCTAAATTAGCAGGCCGGGCGGAAACTAAGTGCTAACCACTTAACCAAATAATTGATTTAAATCCATCACAAACAACTATGATTAAACATTTAGTGACCAGTCTGACTACCAAGTCTTTGCTCTCTGCAAGCTCAGGTTAAAATCCAACAAACAATTTTGTTTTGGATACATTAAGTACCAAGTAAAGTTGAGTCTTTTTCAATGATCTGCTGCCTCCATTTTGTTTGCTTTCTTTATTTTGTCCAGATGTAAATAAATGCCTGTATGAAAATAGCAGCTTGTGAATTAACTGAGACCTCCAGATGTGCCCCACATTCTCTGTCTGATCCTCCTCAGAGGATTTGAACCTCCTCTTTGTTGTGCTTACCAATCATGTTTTAAAATGAGCTTGTAGGGGCTCGTCGGGGATTTGAACCCGGGACCTCTCGCACCCTAAGCGAGAATCATACTCCTAGACCAACGAGCCACTTTTGCCACCTCACCGAAATCACGACAGGAGGAAGTCTGCAGAAGCCTGAGCTGCTCAACACAAGCACAAGAAGGGCCTCATGATGAATGTATTACAGTGAATTAGATTGAATCAGATTTTAATTGGCTTGAATGGGATCATTTTAGGGTCTAAAGTTTACATGTATGGTGTTTTGTTGCTTTATTAAGCAAAATAAAAACTGAAAAACTGAAAGTCCAACAGCTATCAGTTCAACTAAATGATGTGAGAGGGGGAATTACTTAAACCATAACCAGTGTGGCTGAGCCAGAATGACATGACACTACAATAAAGCTGTTAGACCTCATGGCACAACGGTAGCGCGTCTGACTCCAGATCAGAAGGTTGTGTGTTCAAATCACACTGAGGTCAGATCTTTGGTCACCTGCAGAGGTTTTGTGACCACTCTGCAGCTGTTGGCTGTGTCATTGGGGGAAGGAGGAGGAGTACAGTCTTGTGGATTACTTTGTTGGGTGGTGTGAAACTGAACATCTGCATCCTAACACCATCAAGACAAAGGAGCTGCTGGTGGATTTCAGCAGGAGGAAGTCTGATGGCAAAATGTATTTCGTATGACTTACAAAATAAAGTCAGTGAAAGGTTCATGTGATATAATTAGACTGAGTTCTTATTTTCATTTGATCGGAGACAGTATTGGTGGAGAGCATAGCTGTTTTCCAAGCAGTCAACCACAGTTCTATTCCTGGCCAATGCTGCAGGTGTTCATCTGTTTAACAAACATTTAGTTAAATTTTTAAAGCAGAAAGCTGTTTTTTCTTCCCTGACCGGGAATTGAACCCGGACCGCAGTGGTGAGAGCACCAAATCCTAGCCATTAGACCATCAGGGAGATGGTGTGAAGTGGATTATCTTACATTTTGTGGATATTGGATTGGTTGAAACACTTTTTTCTTCAGCAGCTCTAAGTTATAGAAGGTTTTGAGTGTTCAGGAGAGTCCAGACAGAGTCTTTTGTGTCCATGATGGAGGTTTTAATGCATGTAATGTGACTATGGTTGATGTTCTGACTGAGTAGAGTAGGACAAGTTTAGGTGTTCTCCCACATTATGTCTTCCCAGAGAGAAATGGAGAGAATGAACCAGCTCAGCTAAATGATAAGGGTTGGTGTCGCCGAGTGGTTAAGGCGATTTTCCCCATGCAGGTTTGAATCCTGCCAACAACGACTTTTCTGAATACAGTTTATATATATATCTATATTTATATGGATATGAAAAGATATCCACATGTATGGATATGTCCTGCTTGGCCAATACTTGTAATAGGATAAGCTCACACAATAAAAGCAGCATTGAAGCTCAGTTGATATTTCACAAGACCCATCTCTAGACACAAAGATTCAATATTATACTCTGCTAATGTTAAGTGAAACTTTACAAAGACATATAGAGCAGGCTTCAGCATGACCTGGAAGCCACAAAAAATGTCCTACACCAAGCTGCCGGTGTGTAAAGACTGTTTGCTTGTTAGAAAGAGGGGTGAGAATCATAATGGAGATACTGGAAATGGAGGGAATAAACCGGCTCAGATCACTTTGCTGTGTGTGGTTGTTGTAGTTAAGGCAATGGACTGCCAACAATCCCTGTTTATGGTTGATCCTCACCACAACACTATGGGTGCTCTTTGCATACAGAAATAACAAATGCTTGTTAGAGAAAGATGTGGATAGAAATGCGTCATCTATGGTAAAGTATGCATCATCTCCAACAGGCACTCACACAGTGGACGGGATGAGTGGGTCATTTTAACCTGAACTGGAAAGACCGGGCAGTTGTATAGATAACTGATCATACCTAAAAGGAGTTCATTTGTGTGAGCTCTGGGCCCATTTTCATACGTTCCTTTTAGTGATGCATGGTGTTGATGGTATAGTGGTTAACATAACTGCCTTCCAAGCAGGTGACTCCGTTTTGATTCCTGGCCAACGCAGCTCCTCTTTAGATCTGCCACTGGGGAGTTCACAAGATGCTGTAATAGTGAGTGAGGACGAAAAGCTGCCAAGGTTTTCCCACAACTGTTTGGATTTTATGATTTCCTCACAAAAAAGTTAGACTATATATATATAATCAAGATGAGTTTAAAGAGAATACGAAATACCAGGTTCTTTAAATGCATCATCATGGGCTGGTCTTCAGATTCCCGGGGTGCACCTGAACTTATCACCGGCTGCTCCAGCTGTGCTTGAGGGCCTAACACAGACCAAAAACGGGACAGAGACAGAAACAGAAAAACTCCTTCTGCTGTGAGGCAGCTGTTAGCGCTTAGCACATGATTAGAGCTGCTGAAAATGGGTGGAAACTGCTGTTAGCAGCGAGCTAAAAGTGGAGGAACTGTGGAAAATGAAGGGCGATATTTACATGTCCACTAGGGAGCACAGTGTTACCTGGTGGGAATGTTAGTTACGGTGAAGAAGTGAAGAAGCATTGTGTATTTCCAGTTAGAGAATGTGATGGAAGTGTACTGTTACTTATTGGAAATAAACCTTTCCCATGTTAAATACAGAAGCCTCCTGTGAGTTACCACAGAGAGTATCTACCTGGAAGACGCCAAAGCAGATTGTAGGAGAGGCTCAGTCAGTTTTGCAGTTTTGCATACAAATGTGGTCAAAATCACAACAGATTTATAAGATTCCACATTCATGCTTATGCAAAACATCAAATACTCACAAAAAAGAGCAAAAACAAAATAATATTCTGATTAGGTCAACTGTTGTCTGCAGTTAGAAGTGATCCTGATGCCATTTGTTGAATTTTTACACTTAAAGTTTTTCTTTCCTCTTTTTCCCTCCAGGTGAAAGCGCTCTACAATGCTTCTTCCTGTTGTGTCTGAAAATGATTTCTTTTCACACCGAAGTCAGGACACGGCTCCTCGGCCACCAGGCCCAGCCCCCACAGGGGGCCTTTCTCAGGGCCACAGCATCTCCAAAAAGACCAGCATGTGGGCCTAGTTATGAGACCACATCCCCTCCACCAAAGGAGAAGGAGGGAAGACATGGAGGAGGAAGAGAATGAGTCTGTGGACCTGCCGTTTAGCCAGGACACCTTTAGTGGTCTCTGGAACAATGTCCTCACCCCATACATGTATAGACCTATTTCTATAGCATTTCATTCAATAAATAGGAGGGTAATGTTAGAAATGTGTTGTTTTCTCATCACATGTCTTGTGTCTCCATTTTCAGTCATGCTGAGTTGAGGCTTTCCATCAAGCCCAAACACATTTATTTAATCCAAATGTTAACCAGGCTGTTCAGACCAGGAGACTCAGATTTTCAGATGTGATTCACCGGAGTAGTTAAAGTTATTCTGGCTGGTTTATGCAGAGTATAGGCATCTTTTTCCGATAAAAAAATAGAATAAAAATCTTGTACCTTCTCAATCGCTATTCTTTTACCCGTGTCACTTTGGACACCTCGCTGTAACCCATCTACTCCTCCAAAACTTCCAGGATGGGCAGGAGTGTAATATGCTCTCCTCAGTAAGTTTTTCCCTGCCATGGGTTATCTTCACACGTTCTGATTGAATGAAAGAGAAGGATGCTTGCAGTCGGGTTTTATCCGTTTTTTTTAATCAACATGTCTAGTTATGAAACAAAAATTTAACACGATATGATAACACTCGTTTTAATACAGAAAATAAAAAAAACATTCAGTTAACAGTATATCAAAAACTAATTCTGAAAAAAAAAAAAAATCATTTAACAGTGTATTACCGTTTTAATATGAAAAAGAATTCATACAGATAAGCTTCAGCTTACTCAACTGCTGTCTTGATGAATGTGACGGGCAGTTAGAAGTGTCTGAATGGAATCGATAAAATGTGTATTTTAAAGTTGTTCCATCAAACCGTGGTAATTGCGATCAGAAAAGTCATCCTCCAGGACTTCCTTACACTGATGCTGTCTCAGACTTGGGTGATTCACCGAACAGCCGAAACAAGTTTCTTCCTGGAACATTCTGATTGCTGTGTTGAGCAGATGGAGCACATCGGTTTTAACAGCTCTGATGAACCCAAAACGGACCCATCCCTCGAATTCATCCGCTCCAGCCTCCTCCTCCAGAGGGGGCATTCCATGCCCGGGTGGAAGCTCAGAGTACTCCTCATCCTCCGGCGGGGTAGGGCCAGGGGAGTTTAGCCTGGTGAGGATCTGTGTGTCCTCCTCCCGGTCCACCTTTCGGAAGAAGAAGAAAGAGTTGAGGAGAGTAACGGTGAAGGAGGATGGTACGGCCCTCTGAAGAATTGGTCGCTGCCTGGGTATGTGGATGAGGGAAATGTCAGCGGGGTGGGACAACACCCCCACCCG